TATGGGTTATAACCGTGACCATATTATAATGGTATCATTTGACGAAAAACTACCCGATCAGAGGGCTCTAGTTATGATTGTTTTTTTGTAGTGTCATTTGACTGCAAGAACCACGCAGACAAAGATTCAAGCTACACCCTTAATGGTATAAAATTGTTTTGAATTTGAATTTAATAGTATATTTGATATAACATTGACTCTTTGTGAGCTCAAGTCGGCATTAGATTTGTCCACGCAACAAACGGTTGCAGAGGGTGGATGAATTTTTACTTTATGCATTTGGTGGTCAATTTTTATTTGATTTATAAACCTTATGATTTAAAACTTTGACTTTTATAAATAGATCCCTTCGGTTGAGATTCACTTTAGCATGACCATCATCGGGGTATACCATAACTTACACCACTAAAAGCACTAATCCTGTCAAACTTCAGTGCTCATAAAAAGGAGGGTCGAACTGGCTTAGCGGAGGCTCAATCCCGTCGACTCCGACTCTTGTAAGGAGGAGGATCAGACTGGCTAAAGTGTGGGCACAATCTTGTCAACTCTAATCTCTGTAGGGAGGAGGATCAGACTAGCTCAGTGAGGGCTCAATCTGTCGATTCTGTTTTCCTTTGGGAAGAGGTTCAGATCAGCTCAACAGGGGCTCAATCTTGTCGACTCTATTCCTTAGTGGAAGGAGGATTAGATTGGCTGAAGTGGAAGGAGGATTAGATTACACCACTAAAAGCACTAATCCTGTCAACTCCAGTGCTTGTAAGGAGGAGGATCGGACTGGCTCAGCGGAGGCTTAATCTCGTCGACTTTGATTCCTGTAAGGAGGATGATCAAACTAGCTAAAGTGTAGGCTTAGTCTTGTCAACTCTAATCCCTGTAGGGAGGAGGATTATACTGGCTCAGTGAAGGCTCAATCTGTCGATTCTGTTTTCCTTTGCGAAGTGGATCAGATTAGCTCAACAGGGGCTCAATCTTGTCGACTCTATTTTTTAGTGGAAGGAGGATTAGATTGGCCAAAGTGTGAGACTTTTGACCTTGGAAAGGTGGCCCGTTGCCTGCACAACATTCTCAGATGTAGAAGTTTAAGAACCTAGGATCATCGTTGGAGCATATGCGAGAATTTAATTTTATTAAATTGAGTTGATTTTTAAATAACTTAGCATGCATGTCAAAATATTTGGTTTTGAGCTTAAGCACACATTTTTACCCGCACAACTTTCTCGAACCATGAAATCGAGCATTTAGCATGTTGGTCGGAGCACATGCGGGAACTTTATATTTGCCCAATTTGACTAACTTTTAGTAGGGTTTTATTATTATTTACATAGGAATATAATCATTGGGATGCATGCAAATACTTTTATTTAATCCCTTAGTTTCGTCTTCTGTCCACTTGTGTATTCAAAATTGTGGATCCGATGGCGATGGAGGTGAATAAAGATCTTGATTGTGTATTTGTAATTATGTATCTCCAATGCTTAGCTCCCATTTGAGCGTTCAAGCGGAATCCCCACCCCCCAAAAGGTTTCATTCGAGTTCGTTAATGAGTCGTCGAGTCCCCTATGAGTCGTGCATGTTCTATTTCTATTTAATTCCTTCATTTAAAATGATTTATGTAATCATTTTAATCTTTAATATGTTGCTTAGGAGCTTTCATTTGAGTGCATTTTAATCCAAATGAGCTCAATTTAGTTTACCTGTTATGAACGACATTCAACCAAAAAATCCGACAGCATTTCGACAGCTTGCTGGTGTCTTCCCCGATTGGGTGGCTACATCGAGAAACAGAGACATTCCTACCGTGCTAAAAAAAATGTGCATAGTTAGTGTCTTTCGACATTGCGGTCAGGGATCTTCATAACCCACCACACTTAAAAATAATGCGTGGGGCTTTGTGTACCTGCATAAAAAAAAACATAACACAGCGAGTCCTGTCGCATCAACTATGACGCAGACGAGTCGGTAACCCATCACGCTTAAAAAAGCATGCACATGACTTGAGATACCTACATGAAAGATGACAACACATATAGGCTTTCTGGTTGATAAAACATGTACTTGAAATTTTCCACTTGAGCCAAAGTTCTTCCCCTCCCTTTTCTTTTGCTTCCCAGGCTTTTTAATTGACATATCAATTGACAGTAGCCATATCAATTGCTCTGTCAGCCATCTAAAATGTATTCACCCATGCATTTATTTTCTCTGCATTCTAAAACAATTATTGGGACACTCTTGCATCTGGTTGACTTGTTGAAAACATCACATTCCCATCCATCTCTTCTGAAAGGTTCACGGCGATCTTCTCAGTTGCCATATTTTCCACAAATTGGACCTGAAGTCGCTCCTCAACGACATTAAAAACTTGAGTTCCAACTATTCATCATAAGCTTTGGAGCTCGTCTTCCATTTATTCATCCTCTTCTTCGGGCTCGATGCTTGCCCTGGGGAAATCAGGGTGCTGGCAGGAACGTGAGATAAGAGGTAGACGAGGTACATGGGTCAGGTGGAGACCGAGGAAGCGGGGTTGTTGAGCGTGGGATGGCTGGCCGTGAGTGGGGCTGCCGGCGAGATCTGCAGTGGGCTGGAGTAGGAATAAGAAAAAGATGTGGGATGGCATTGGACAGCAGGATAAGAACAAGGAGTTCAGGTTACCCGCAGACGAGGGAGATGACGGGGCTGGGTTGTGGGGGCTGGGCTGCTCTGCTAGAAGCAGGGAGGAGGAGACTGGATCAACACAGGAGGGTGAAGGGAGAGCAGAGGAGAAGTACCGCGGGGGAGAGGAAGTCTGTGGGGGAAGGCTGCCTGCAGGATGTCTCCGGAATTGAGGGATAGCGGGGATGGCGTGGCTGGGGTTTGCCAGAGAGAAGTACCACGGGGGGCTGCTCTGCTAGAAGAAGGGAAGAGGAGACTAGGTCGACACAGGAGGGTGAAGGGAGTGCAGAGGAAAAGTACCACGGAGAAGAGGTAGTCTGGGGGAAAAGGCTACCTGCAGGATGTCACCGATGGGAGTTCGCAGGGATTGAGGGACAATAGGGATGGCTGCTCTGCTAGAAGCGAGAGGTTTTTTGCTTGAGTGAGATTTGATCAGGAATATCTTTTATTATTATTATTATCGATACATCATCAACAAATTTCCAATATATAACACGAATTTGGATGCATGACACGGATCTCGATGAAATCTTTTAAGCGAGAAAGGTTCAAACTTTGACTAAGAGCCTTCCCGAGCTCCGAAACTTATAGTCAAACTGACTGACTTAATGAGATGGATCAAATGATACCAAAATTGGTTCAATCCGAGTCAAATCAAGATCCAATCAAGACATTAAACCACTTTTGGAAGTTTTTCAAACATATTTAGAAGTCAAAGGGATGTCGAATCTAGCAAAACCTATAGTCGAATCGAGCGTCTCGACAAGACGAATTCAGTGAGCCCAAGATTGCTCAATTTTGATATCGTTAAAACACTCAAATTTTAATCAAACGCCGTTTGATTGAAGGAAGCTATTCGGACCGTCTGATCAAAGTGATTCATATTCTTGTATTAGGTGCACCTAGAACACTATAAATAGAGTCTCACCTCTCTAATGAGGACGAGGACAACTTGAGACTTGAATAAGAGCTTGAAGGTTTGAAAATGAGCTAAAGACTAGCACCACCACCGCCAACCATCGTCGACTACTACTAATCTCCATCAACCACCGTGGACCGTCGTCAACTTTCGCTGATCAATGTCGACCACCATTAACCGTCGTCAATCACTGTTAATCACATTCGACCACTGTTGACCACTATTGACCGGATGCCACTAATTGTTATCGGTCGCTATATGTTTGTTAAGTTATTGCAACTGTAATCTTTTTTTTAATAGTGAATTCTTCAGTTGGGTTAGGCCCCATGGTATTTCTCTTTCTGGCGTTATTATTATTTATTTTCTCTTTTCTAAGTGTGTATTGAATCTTTGTACCACTCTAAGATGATAATCTACTACTCTACTATCGTGAATTTTCTAGCACACAAAAATGATTATTATTATTATTTTTATTTCCTTAAATGATGTGGTGGGCTCTTTTTGGCTGAAGAGGGAAGCAGAGGTATGGGCTTGAAGTCACATTAGGTGGTGGCTTGGTTGGGAAGGTAAGGTATGGAAAATAAAATTTTTCTCTTTTATTTATTTTATCTTTAATTTAAACGTCTCTATTTATGTGCCAATTATTCGTGCACAAATACCTATCAATATTGGTGTCCATTTTAGCCAAACTGAACATTCCAGAAGCAACGACGTTGTCCGTTTTGTGATTGGATGTCGTTCAAACAAATTTCTATGACGGTTGAGATGAATTGGATCCAAATATCATGTTGCAACGACACTTGTCGATTTCGCCATACTTTGTCATTTCGATCACATAATACCTCTCCATAGGAAATTTTAATGTTCTGGACGTGCTTGCGAAGTTCATTTTGTGACCGAATGTTGTTTGAGTAAATTCGGTGATCGTAAGAAAATTTCAGGTTCAAATTGAGCACTTCGTGTCGGCAGTATGTTGATTTCATCATGCTTGTTCTATTCAATCATAAAATACCCCTCTTTGGGTAATTTTGATGTTTTGAATGCAAAGGAGGAGTCATGCCCAATCTACTCCCCTTGTGAAGTATATATGAGGGCCAACAGTTAGCTGCCACTCGCTGCTATCGCCGTTGCCGGCCATTGATCGTCACCAAACTCTCGCACTAGCACCGACCACTCGTTCGTCAGCCGCCACCAACCTTAGCAAACATAAAAATGCAAAGACTTTCATTTATTTTTGCTGAGCCAAATAATTCTAAAAGATCTAAAATACAATACATTACTTTAACATTTTATTTCTTTTACACTGTATGTCTTTTTCAACAAATGAAAGAGCTCCTGAGTAAAGGTTTCTGTTTTGCTGGCCATGGAAGTTTAACTATTGTTCTTCAATTTTAGATTTTCAGGAGGTCCGGTTTAAGAGGATGTTATGCAGGTCTTGGACCCACTTTGGCGAGAGCATTTCCTGCAAACGCTGCTGCTATTGTTGCATTGGAACTCACTGCAAGGATGCTTGGTGTCAAGCGCGATTGATTTTGGAGGTTTATTCTTTTGAGTAAGTTAATTTATAATTTTTTGTGATAGTAAAGTGTCAAAATAGTCTCTAATCATTTACATGTGGTCATGTTAGTCCTGGAGTTTGTAAAAGTGTGAGTTTAGTCCTCAGATTATTTTAGTAGCGGCTAAAATATTCTTTTCCGGTGACTATTTTGGCTCATATTAAACGAGTCTAAAGACTAATTTGATATTTTATAAACTTTGGGATTAAATTGATGCCTACAAAGAGTCGGGATATCATTTTCATACTTTTGTTTGTTGTGTTGATCAGTGTGCTTCTTGCTGCTCAATGTTGTTGAATATTATGTTCTTACCTATGATTATTGTTGTGTTGTTATGCTCTTAGCATAGTGAGTGATATCCAAAAATCAGTTTTTAAGTTATTGAGCAGGTAAGGTTGGCAACCTGATTCATTTAATGAGAAAAATTCTTTAGTGGTGCGGTTAGGGCTGTGAATTTAGCTTGAAGATCGTTGTTCACTTAAAAATCAATTCTAATTTTGGTATGGATCGAGATCGGATCGAAATAAACGAGCCGATTTATGAGTTGAAACTTTTGTTCGAATTTTTTTCGAGCAGATTTTGAGCCATATGTGGATCGGCTCGTAGTATTTTTTTATTTATAAAAAAAATTATATATAATGCTAAGAAAAATTTAATATGACATGTCACTAGCCAATTTCAAGCTGATTTTGAGTTGGAAATGATTCAAATAACTCAATTTGAGCCGGTTAGTTTCAATTTTAAGCTTGATCAAGTGGATTGTGAGCTGAAAAGGATCCAAATAACTCAAATTGAGCTAGCTCATTTCGATTTCGAGTTGGATTAGGCTTAATTTAATTTAGCCGGCTCAGCATGAAATCATGTATAACCAACACGAGCCAAGTTCGAGCCGCACTAATTTATTCGAGTCAACCCAGTTTGGCTTGAAATCAGATTGTTTACAAACTTTAGCATTAATCTTGAAATTTGTTTTGATTTTTTGGTCATGTGCTAATTTCTTTCTTTTATATATTTTCCTGTTTACAAAGCTGATTAAAGATCCACAAATCGACCGAAGAACTTCTAGCCGACCGAATGATTATCAAGCGACTCAATTGAGCAGTTACGAATATGAAATGATGTCAGCAGCAGTTGCCAATATGAAATGGTGCCAACAACGGTTATCAATGTCAAAAGATATCAACGTCGGTTATAAATTTATAAATGTGTAATGACTCATAAATCATTTTTAACTTTCCTATTTAATTAGAGACAAACATGTAATTTAGGAGGCTTCCCATATGATTAATAAATAGAGGAGTCTTCTCCTAAAAAAATATACTAGTGAATTAGTTCCAAGATAACTTGTACAATTTTGTGTTCTCCTCACTCTCCCTTTCTGTCTCTTTCTCGATTTACTTCTTTCTATTCCTCTTATCTGTCCAACGCTCTATCTCTTCGTTATGACCAAAGGGACATTTTGGGATTCAACCGATACGAAATATTCGGGTGGCATAAGCTAGATATTTAAATACGCAAGAATTAAGTGGTACATACATACCAACCAATTCCTTTGTATTAACATATTAAACACTTGAAGTAAAACCCAAGCCTTTCATCCCTCATCAAAATATCACTGTTTTAACTTTAAAAAATAAAATAAAATACACCTTCATGCATAAGTAGGATGGCATATATATATAAATTCAAGCTTTAATTCTAGATTTGTAATTAAAAAAAAAAAATTGAGTGGTATGTATGTAAATATTCCAAAAAAAGGTGTAAAAAATGTGCTAGCAGGGATCCTGAGGAGATCCAACGACCCTAAAAAAGAAAATATGACCAAAGAGAGCCCAACAACAGACAAACGAGAGACCCGTTCATCCAATCAGACATAGCCATCAGTAGAAGAACGATCCGAATTCAAACCAATCACATTAAAACAAGAGAGCTAACCTTAGCTCTTACTTTTTTTTTTTTCTTTCCAGAAGATGATGGTTGAAGTAGATGACCTACCTATTCCCTGAAATACAATATTCTTCAATATCATAAATACTGTCTTCTTCATTTGTATTGGGTCTGACAGATCCCACCTCAATTTCAATTTGAAGCTGAGCTTCTCAAAGTCTTGAAGGTTTTTTCTTTTCCTTTCATTGAAGTTTCTATCTTTTCAAATTTTAGTTTCTTTATGATTCCTGTTCTAATCTTTTCAAAGTTGGAAATTCTCTGAAAGAAGAAAATTTATGGAAAAATTTACATACATTGCCCACAATTCTGATGTATTTACATATCTAAGTTTGATATTTATATTTGTAACAGCTTTGGCATCACGAGTATATGCGTGAAAATACATATTTTATTTTTAAAAAGTTTGTGATCGTGGCGTGACATAAACGTTTTGATTGTTATGTGTGTAAATATAAATATTTAGAGGTTCGACATGTAAATACAAAAGAATTATATGTTATGTATGCAAATGCTATAATATTATTAGTATTTTGTCATGATAAAACTGTTCTCTGATTTATTCCCTCTAGATTACTTGTTATTGTTCACAGATATATTATGTCCTTGATTTGAACACAAACCCTACTCTTATTATATATTTGCATTTGTAACACCTATGCATATGTAATATGGCATATATGTAAAATATTAAAGTTTAGGTGTTAGGTATGTAAATACATAAAACTTGAGTGGTATATATGTAAATATTCTTAAAAAGAACTAAAATTAAGCTGCATTCAAGATTTCTTTAATGTATTTGTCCTGAACTACTTCTTGTTTGATCAACTGGCATTACTTTGTTCTAAAATGAATTCAACTCTTTCATCGAGAACAAAGGGCATGGGTGCAGTACAAGATCTCAAAATTTTTTGCAGATGCAACCAGCAATGCCTTTTATACACATGTCAAAAAGGAGAGAATCGTGGAAGAAAATTTTATAGATGTCCTCAAAATTGCTCGCCAGATAGTTGCGGTTTTCTCAAATGGGCTGACGAAATGGATGCTACGGACGATGCGACGAAGTATCAATTACTAGCTTATGAGGAGAAGCTTACTGAAAAACTTGAGTCGATTACATTTCAAATGAAGTTTATATTAGCAATCCTCATTGTTAATGTAGCCCTCTTGTTAGCTTTGTTCAAGTTTTTTTTGAACATGAGGTGAAATATTGAATGATTTAGTGAAGCTAAGTTGGAAAGGTGATGAATAAAAGATATCAAGTGTTATGAATTTCTTAAGTTTGTGTTGATATATGTTTAGATTAGACAAAAGATTGTTTGTTCTTTACAATAATATGCAATTAGTGGTCATATACATTGTTGTAGAAATAAAATAGAGCATGGGAAGAAACTTTATCGTTGCAATTCATTCTTTTACTTCTAAAATCAGCAGTCTCAAAATTTACATTTCAACTCAGGGTCTGATTGGGGCAGCTGCAGCTTCTCATCTTTTTAGTTACAGCTGAGCTACCCCAGGAAGTTGCTGTGGGGAAGCTAGCTATCTGTTTGTTGCAGCTGTGGGACAGCTGTATCTTGAAAAATGACTATTCTACCCTTATTTAGTAAAGCTTTTTAAAACAAAATTGTAACAACCACATTTGATATTTCAGAAGCAGAAATTCATTTCAAAATAGATATTATTATCAGAATGACAAAAGATTTCGTTTGTACACTGCACGTCTTATCAACCATCGGGCTCCACATCATCATACAATTTATCATTGGACGATGTGGCGTCCGGTGATTGGCCGTTCGGATGAGTGGACGAATATTTTTTTTCGCTTAGAAGAGGATCCTTAATATCATTTAGTGTTAGTGTAAGGCAGCTTTTTTGAAAGGTAAGGGCAAAATCTTGGAAATATGCCGCGAGGCCCTCATAACGGCAATGAGCAAATTTAAATTTCCCCTTCTGTACAAACCTCCCATGCGAGTGCTTCACTTCTCCCCTCCTTCCTCGCCCGCGTTTGCCCTAAATTCGAAATCTCTGCAGCTGCAACCCGAAGAGCTCCAGCAGAACTCCTTTTCGTTCCCACAAACCCCCAATCCAGAATCTTATTCCTTCCCTCTCTGTCTTGACCCCAGATCCTTCCTTTCTGCCTTAGTCCAATGTCAAACCCACTTCCAGATACGAAAAGTTCACGCCTTGGCGATCGCAACCGCCATGATAGACAACCTTGGTGTGGCCAACAAGCTCATCTACATCTATGCGCAGCACAAGGCGATGGCCGACGCCTGCTTCCTTTTCAGCCGGATGACAGAACGAGATAATGTCTCCTGGAGCGTAATTATCGGCGGGTTCTCAAAACTGGGAGATAATTATAATTGCTTGAAAGCTTTCAGGGATTTTGTCCGCTCTGGCCTTCCCATGGATAACTACACTCTTCCCTTTGCTTTACGAGCTTGCAGGGATACACTATCTCCGCGGACCGGTGAGGAGATCCATCACCTCGTTAACAAATTCGGATTACAGTCTGATGTTTTCATTTCCGCGTCTTTAGTAGATATGTATGCGAAATGTGGGCAAGTAGAAGATGCCCGCAAGGTGTTCGATCAAATGCCTAAACGGGATCTGGTTTCATGGACGGTCATGATTTCTGGCTATGCTGAGTGTGGAAATCCTGAAGAATCAATGGCATTGTTTGATCAGATGAAGGATAATGGTACATTACCTGATAAGGTCGCCATGGTGACCGTTGTCTTTGCCTGCGGGAAGCTCGGGGCTATGCACAGGGCAAAGGCGATTCATGATTATATTCGGAGAAGAAAGTTTTCATGTGATGTTATTCTGGGCACCGCAATGATCGATATGTATGCTAAATGCGGAAGCGTCGATGCGGCAAGGGAGATCTTCGATCAAATGAAAGTAAAGAATGTGATTTCATGGAGTTCAATGATTTCAGCTTATGGCATTCATGGCCGTGGGAGGGAAGCTCTCCAGCTATTCCCTCCAATGATACAGAGCGGTATTCATCCCAATCGAATCACTTTTGTTTCCATTTTCTCTGCTTGCAGTCATGCCGGCTTGGTGGAAGAGGGCAGACAGTTTTTCGAATCAATGGAGAAGGACTATTCCGTAGAACCTGATGTGAAGCATTTCACTTGCATGGTGGACCTTCTCGGCCGTGCGGGACGACTCACTGAGGCGCTGGAGTTGACAGAGATGATGAAAGTTGATAAAGATGAGGGCTTTTGGGGCGCAATCTTAGGGGCTTGCAGGATCCATGGTGATATAGGATTGGCTGAGAAGGCAGCGAAAAGCCTTCTTGAGTTCAGTCCTAGGAATGCAGGGTACTATGTTCTGCTCTCGAACATATATGCGAAAGCTGGGAGGTGGGAAGAGGTGGCCAAGGTGAGAGAGCTGATGACTGGCAGGAGAGTGAAGAAGACACCCGGCTCGACATGGATTGAAATCAAAGATAAGACATTTCAGTTCAGAGTGGGGGACAAGTCCCATTCACAATTTAAGGAGATTAATGAAATGCTGAAGGTTTTGATTGAGAAGCTGGAGCTGGCTGGCTATGTTCCTGATACCAACTTTGTGCTGCATGATATAGAGGAGGAAATCAAAGCTGAGTTTTTGTACACCCACAGTGAGAAGTTGGCTATTGCATTCGCTCTCGTTGCGACGGATGAGGGTTCTGCAATCAGGATGACGAAGAACCTGAGAATATGTGGTGATTGCCACACGTTTACGAAAATGGTCGGCGACATTGTGCGCAGGGAGATTGTTGTTCGAGACGGCATTCGCTTCCACCATTTTGCTAATGGCTCTTGTTCTTGTGGGGATTACTGGTAATTTGGAAGGAAGATGTTTACAGTGAGGTTAACTATTAGGTGTAACTCAAATATCAGATAAGGGACAAATGCTGGAGTGGAACATAGTGGAAGCATTTGTCTAACTGTGGGAGTTTCGTTAAATGGGTTGGGTTGCCCTGCGGTACGGTACAAAATTTTTTTTGTAATCGAATTGAGGCAGTTTTGTTAAGTAGGTTGTGGGTGTGGGGGAACGCCCCAGCGGTACGGTATAGAAATAATTTTGTAATTACATATTGTACTCTAATGTTATATATATATATATATATATATATGTTTTATTGTAACTAATGGGATGCACTCCTTTTCAAGAAATCAAAAAGCCCTTGCTCTTGCTCCGGAGGACATAGTCAAATTGTCAAACCTCGTTAAATCCCTGTGTTTATTCTAGATTCTTACATTTTCTTCGCCCTAATTTCTAAAAAGTAACTAACTCTATTCTTCCATGTGCTATCAACTTAGGTTGTCATTTTGAAGATTTACGTAAATGTTGCTCAATTCTTATGTATTTACTTTTCTAACACCTAAATTTTAATAATTACATACATGCCCCCTTCCCTATGCATGAAAAGGTGATATTTTTTTATGTGATACAGCGATTTGGTTGGTATTAATGTAAAAAGAACCATGGAGGTGTTATGTATGTAAATTCATAAGAATTGGGTGGTATGTATGTGGATGCCCCAACTATTTAACAAGAGAATTCTTTATACTAACCACTTAATTATATAACTTAGCCATATATTGAGAAATCAGTGATTAACTTTGCTAATGAGGTTTACATCTGAGGAACAAGCAAGCATGCTTTCATCTAGGGGCATTTACATACATACCACACAAATCTTATATATTTATATATCTAACACGTCAACTTTCATATTTACATACATACCATTTAAATCTTTGACAACACATCAAGAAAATCACTATCAGTGGCTGTTTAAAAATGAAACACACCTTTTCATGTATAGATTTTTAATATTAAAGTGTTATAAAAGGTCTACCTCTACCTTTTTTAACATAAGTCAATCTAAAGCATCTACTTTTCCAACCGGATCAACAACTGGTCAAGGTACTGTGACCAAACCATCTAAGATGATTCTATCTAATCTTATTTGTCATTGGAGCTACACCAACCCTTTACTCATACATTAGCTTTGTATTTTGTTTCTAAGTGTCAAGCCACTCATCCACCTAATAAATCTATAACGCATGACATAATATTTATATTTATACTTTAGGTATTTACCTGATAAAAAATCAGTTTGGAGTCGAGTCGAAGTTGAATCATTAGGAGTCTGATGGGCTTATTATACTAACAGATGTATATATGAAATCATTTTGAACGTAATGTATGTAAATATGATATTTAAATGTTAAATATGTTAATACATTTTATATATATATGTGTGTGTGTGTGTGTGTGTGTGTGTGTGTGTGTGTGTGTGGTGCGCGTTCCGTAACTTATTGATAGAGCAGACTCTTTGAATATCATAAGTCTCCTTAGGTCTGGGTTCGAATCCCCTGCTGGTGCAGTGTCTTCTTAAGGCAAGTGATACTCGAATTTATTTGTATACCGCGTTGGCTCCCAGACCTGACTGAAGTTAGGGCATTAATCGTTGATCAGGCCGTCAATCAATCTTTTTATATATATATATATATAT